TAAACTTAAAAATAAAAACAGATACCAGTAAAAATACATTAACTGAGGCATCAGTAGGTTAAATGTTTTTGAATATTTACATAAAACTGTAATTTAAGATAAGACTGCCCAACTCTGATCAAACCATTATTCTAATCTTCTTCAATGTAAATGTACCTACGTGTCCTTCCAATAATAATAAAGTAAAATAATAAATGTAATAATAATAATAATAATATAATAAAATAATACATTTAATAAAAATAAGAGTAAAATAATGTAAATGTCATAATCATAATAAATAGAGTAAAATAATAAAAGTAATAAAAAATAATAACAGAATAAAATAATAAATAACCTTGACTCGAGAATAAGCCGAGTGGGCCTTTTTCAGCCTAAAATATGGGCTGAAAAATGCGGCTTGAGAATATACAATATGTGTGATAACCAGAGGCTGCCCTAGGTAATTTTCAACAGTAAGCAAACAGTATTTTGGCGCCCCACCCCCCAACCAATCATTGATATATATTTTCTTTTGTTGTGGGAGTTCTGTGTGCCATATTTGGTTCAATTCCATCATTGGTGGAGTTCAGAATGCTCTTTGATTGTAGGTGAACTATACATCCCTTACTGTGTTGGGGTTCAGCCTGAGTTTGAACTTGAACCTGATTCTCTGTTTGTTCCTCCTGATGCTAATGAAAATATATTTACTGATGCTAATGAAAATGTACCTCTTGATGCCAATGCTCCTGAAATTAGTGAGGAAGAAACTGCTGTAGGTTTGGAAAATGCCAATGTTCCTGAAATTAGTGAGGAAGGAACTTCTGTAGATTTGGAAAATGAAAATACCAGTGTTCATGAGAATGTTTCAGAGGGAAGCCTTGAACTTTCCCTCCCTTCTGCACCTGTTAACTGTAATGACAACAGAAGGGGCCAAATTTGGCAAGATAGAAATAAATCACTCAGCTTGCGTCGATCCTCCCAAATTCAAGAATTAAAAACATTGGCTTCAAAGAAGAGGGGCGGTTCACGGAACCAATTCTTGGGTTTTAATTGCCTTCCGCCGGGCTGACTGTCTCAGTTCAGGCATCGTTTCAGAATTGATGAAGACCTTGGCAGCTCTCCCGGTTCCCTGGCCATAGCTTGGGAAGATTTCTAGGATATCAAGTACGGTTAGTGAATCACTAAACAGGTTCCAGTATTTTGCAGTGTGGCTTTGGGTTTTGTTCTTGTGCATTTAAATTCATGTTTGCTGATTTTGCTGTGGCTTTTGACTTGCATTTTTCCTTTATTTTGTAACCATTTTTCTTCAATAAAAAAGGATTGTTTTTCACAGTCAAGTGTGGTGGATAGTTGTCTTAGGGCCTCGTTCCCTGCTCTGGATTGCAACAGTAACTACACTTGCAGCACTTGCTCCCTTGCCTGGCCCGCTTTGGGTCCGGAGGCGTGCCTGAAGACCCTGGCGTGTGCACCAAAAGTCACCTCTTCTCCTGACTTTCTCCTCAGCCATTGGGACCAAGAGAGAGAGAGAGAGAGAGAGAGGTGGAGATGCCCACCTTTCCTGAAGGTAGGCGCAAAAACAAAGGAGGGAGCGGAGGTGGGAGATACCTCCAGCCGGAGGGGCTCTCTCTCTCTCTCTCTCTCTTGGTCCCAATGGCTGAAGAGAAAGTCAGGAGAAGAGGTGACTTTTGGTGCGCACGCTGGGGTCTTCAGACACGCCTCCGGACCCGAAGCGGGCCAGGCGTGGCAGCTCCGCCCCTTGGCCCACCCGCGGATTGGGGAGAGGAGAGGAGGCGGGTGGAGCGCCGGGGGATCGGGAAAGGGAGCCGGTCATGGGGAAGGGATCGAACGCGGAGAACGATTGAGCGCCGGCTCTGCTCGCGCACCCTGTGGCCGGGTGGAGCAGGAACGAGAGGGGCTAGGTGAGGCTCAAGGACCCGGCCCCTTTGGGAAGAGGATCCGGCTGTTGTGAGCTGAGGGGGCGCTCCTCAAGTGGCGGTCGAGGGGCATTTACAGAGGCACCTCTGCGCCCCTGGCAAAAAAAAGTGTTCTGCGACCGCTTACTTCGCGTAATGGACGAGCCGCCCCTGGTGATAACAATTATTATAATCTTGAAGAATCCCCTCAGAGTCAAAGAAATCAATGGCCTGACAAAGCTGGAGAAGTAAGGCAAATTAAATCTGGAGTGCTGCTTTCTTAAATGTGAACAAGTCAATACTGATTAGGCTCACTCTTCTCCAAAAATCAAGATGTTTTCCAATTTCAAAACCAAGCACTTAGTTTATTTCAAAGTTGCCATGTCACAAATTTAATTTAAAAGCTTCATTAAAAAATAATAGGTAAGCTATAACTTTAATGCCAGCAACAGCATGAGTTTTGAATGGATTATGAAGATAAAGTGCAAAAAAGAGCAATCCCCCAAGTCGCTGAACTTTAATTCATATCACACTTCATTTCCTCCAGCAAGAGAAGTCATGCTTTTATTGTGAAATATATACATTTCACAATAAAATATTGATAAAAGAATGATCTACATACACATGCAAATACTCAGTATATGCATCTTCTATGTGCTTTGTGGTCTCGTAGTTCATAATTTGCCAGGAAAAACCTGAAGGGCATTACATGCTTCTGAACTGCTTGCAGTTCTTTAACATCACCCCAAAAACAGTTATATTTTTCCAGTGCTGTTAAAATTTTGTGGAGAGATTAACACAAAATTTGGAAGGGACAGGGGTGCTGGTATTAGTTACTGGAAAAGTTAGTATCTGATTTCCCATTTTAAAAATATGTTATTGTAGCTTGCTGCGGTTTTGGCAGTCTTTGTAAATATAAAGGAAGCAGTCCAGTTAATATATGGAAAACAGTACAAAACGGACTCACAATTTGTATATTTACCCCTTTAATTTACATAGCACATAGCCTTACTTTGTTCAATTAATGGCACACTGGCATTAAATATCGAGTGAAATGGGAGTCTTTGGCCTGGATTAGAGGAAAATGTTTATAATCCAATTTAACACATGGGCAGATAAGGCAGCTCCATACTATAATTTTCTGTGTTCTTCTCCTACCCATATTTCCCCTTTAGATTTGAAGCTCAAACTCATTTATTGAATTATATGATAAAAAGCTTACAGATTTAAGTAACAGAAACATTGTTATATTTTTATAATTATGAAAGGAAGTACCGTTTAAAAATATGAATACTGATGAAAATCCTTTTAAGCAGACAGGAGAGGTACCATTAAAAGATCTACTACACCCATATCTAAACTCAGGAAAACAGGTTTATTTCTATCTTTGCACTGATAAATTTATTCTCTTACTTTAACAAAAATGTTGAATGATGGGCTCTCTGATTGCTGAGAAGTAATTCTATCTAGCTTTGGCACAAACTAAAACATTTCAGGTTTTAAGTGCAGCTTTTAGTGTCAAATAGACTTGAGTCTCTCTAAACTTCAGTAGACAATTTCTGGGGTCTATACTGTCTTTTTTTTTTTAATTTAAACTATTATATACATTTGAACCATTTCTTAATCCATAAAGTCAAAGTTAATTCTCAGATGATTAACAGGAAATGAACTTTTGGGAAATTGTGTATATAGGTTGATCTTGTTTTCACACATAAACCATGTTACTGTTTAAAAATAACTTCTTTATGATGTTGAAAATAGAAGTATAAATTTAGTTAACAAGGAAGGAAGGAAGGAAGGAAGGAAGGAAGGAAGTTTTTTGTTCTTCATAACATATCATGGCTATGTAGAAGGCTGCCCTGAGTGTATATCATTTCAGCTTTATGAGAGAAAGACTACTAGCATGAGTGACATTACTCAAAAGATAAGTAAACTACTACAGATCAGACATCATCTAAAGCAGTAGTTCTCAACCTGTGGGTCCCCAGGTGGTTTGACCTACAACTCCCAGAAATCCCAACCAGTTTACCAGCTGTTAGGATTTCTGGGAGTTGAAGGTCAAAACATCTGGGGACTCACAGGTTGAGAATCACTGATCTAAAGCAAATCTGTGTAAGCTTGGGTCGATGGAGTTTAAAGAGTCAAAGTACAATCTCATGCACAACTGCATATAAGTAAAGTCATTCTTCCACATTAAGGGTAGAGGAAACCCGTAAAAGTGAAGAACTGGAAATCAAGAAATTGTTAATTTGTAACCCCAAAAGGCACCTCTCCAGGAATTTCTAGGACTTCCAGAATGACTCTATGGCTAGCTTCTACTGGAAGCTGGCTATGCGAATTGCACTGGAGGACCTAGGGATTCCTAGAGAACTGTTCTTGCTAGAAATCTCTAGGTCTTCCAGCATGGCTAGAGGTTGTTGATCAAAAACTTGTGGGTTTGGCCTACAACTCCCAGAAATCCCAGCCAGTTTACCAGCTATTAGGATTTCTGGGAATTGAAGACAAAAACATCTGGGGACCCACAGGTTGAGAACCACTGTGCTACAGACTCTAAAAATTAAGGGAGATAATATTTAAAATCAAATCCACAAATAATCAAATCTACAAAAGTGAAAACCTCAAACATGTAGGAACAACTGTATATCTTTCTAAGTTCATTGGGATTTGCTTCCAGGTAAGTGAGCACAGGACTGTCGTTTTTAACAGGCAAACACCTGTTCTGGATTGTGGACACTGGCATGGCTGTGCTTATGGAAAAACATGTTTAAGTATCTCTACCATCAAAACTCACACAAGGGAAATACATCACCATTGGAAATGTTTATAATGTGCCAATGAAATTCTTGTATGAGTCTGCCAATACTTTATTTGAACATCTTATTTCTGGTTTTGAGAAACACCAAAAGGCAGAAGCTCCTGGAGAACCACATTCATCTTCATAGGAGATAACGGTCTTTAAAATTTGGCTGATGCCGTTTCAGCTCACTGTTTCACCGTTTCCACCAGAAAAGCAAAAATCACTTTTCAGCACTAGCACTTAATAGTACGCTCATATTTTAATATAGGTAATCTCCCTCCTTCTCTCTAAAAATAGCCTCTCTTCCCCTAATAATTCCCCTTGTCTCCTTCTCCGCCCCCTCCTCCCCCTCCGCCCCCTCCTCCCCCTCCGCCCCCTCCACCCCCGCCTCCTTCTCCTTCTCCTGGTGCATTCCACTCCGGGTAGGAAACCAGTTCATGTGCTTGGTTTTCTGTTTGTGAAGTCTGAGATGGTTGTGCGGTGGGAAGCATCGAGGAGGTAATCACTGAACCTGAGCTTGGCTCATCGGAGCTTTTCCATACTTTTGTTCTCCAAAATTGTTTTATAGCATGTCTGTAAAAAGAAAGTAAAAATAAAACCATGAAGCAAATTTAATCAGATTTATGACATACAGGGCCAACAACAGAAAATACTTTAAAAGAAATCAGTCACAAAATTTAATTCCCACACTCATTTTATTTATTTATTTATTTATTATTTATTACTGCGCTTGTATACCGCTATTTCTCAGCCTATATCGGCGACTCAATGCGGTTTACAACACTACAAAAATCAACAATATTCAGTTTAAAAGCATAAAAACACATATACAATACAAAATTATTGGGCCACCAATAACAATCCAATTGCATCTCGTAACTGAAATCGTAATCCAATCTCATCGTCCATGATTACCAGTCCTTGATCATCAGAATTCATTGCACCGGGTTAACCGAATGCTTGTTCAAACATCCATGTCTTCAATCTTTTTCGAAACACCATCAGCGAGGGGGCTGATCTTACCTCTATAGGGAGGGCGTTCCAAAGCCGAGGGGCCACCACAGAAAAGGCCCTGTCTCTCGTCCCCGCCAGCCGCACCTGTGAAGCCGGCGGGATAGAGAGCAGGGCCTCTCCAGAAGATCTTAGGGTCCTGGTGGGCTGATAGGCTGAGATACGTTCGGATAGATAAGTTGGGCCAGAACCGTTTAGGGCTTTAAAGGCCAATGCCAGCACTTTGAATTGAGCCCGGTAGCATATCGGCAGCCAGTGGAGCTGGTGCAGCAGAGGAGTTGCGTGCTCCCTGCGCCCCGCTCCTGTTAGTATCATGGCTGCCGCCCGTTGGACTAATTGGAGCTTCCGGGCTGTCTTCAAAGGCAACCCCACGTAGAGAGCGTTGCAGTAGTCAAGACGGGATGTAACCAGAGCGTGGACTACCGTGGCCAAGTCAGACTTCCCAAGGTACGGTCGCAGTTGGCGCACAAGTTTTAACTGTGCGAATGCTCCCCTGGTCACCGCCGAAACCTGGGGTTCCAGGCTCAGCGATGAGTCCAGGATCACACCCAAACTGCGAACCTGCGTCTTCAGGGGGAGTGCGACCCCATCTAACACAGGCTGTAACCCTATACCCTGTTCGGCCTTGCGACTAACCAGGAGTACCTCTGTCTTGTCTGGATTCAATTTCAATTTGTTCGCCCCCATCCAGACCGTCACAGCGGCCAAGCACCGGTTCAGGACCTCAACAGCCTCCTTAGTAGCGGGTGGGAAGGAGTGACAGAGTTGGACATCATCTGCGTACAGATGACACCGCACTCCGAAACTTCGGATGATCTCGCCCAGCAGCTTCATGTAGATGTTAAACAACATGGGAGACAGTATTGAACCCTGAGGAACCCCACAAAACAAAGGTTGTGGAGTTGAACAGGAGTCTCCCAGTAACACCTTCTGAGACCGACCCTCGAGGAATGAGCGGAGCCACTGCAAAACAGTACCTCCAAGTCCCATCCCCGCGAGGCGTCCCAGAAGGATACCGTGGTCGACGGTATCGAAGGCCGCTGAGAGGTCGAGCAGCACCAACAGGGACACACTCCCCCTGTCGAGCTCCCGACGCAGATCATCCACTAAGGCGACCAAGGCTGTCTCGGTACCATGCCCCGGCCTAAAGCCAGACTGCGCCGGATCCAGATAATCCGTGTCTACCAAGAATGCCTGGAGTTGTCGAGGCCACCACACGTTCCATGACTTTGCCCAAAAAGGGGAGATTGGAAACAGGCCGATAGTTGACGAATTGAGTGGGGTCCAGTGATGGTTTCTTCAACAGGGGTTTTATCACAGCTTGCTTTAAGCTGGCTGGAATTTTGCCCTCCCGAAGGGAGGCATTAACCACCACCTTCACCCACTCGGCCAATCCCCCTCTGGCCTCCTTTAGAAGCCAGGATGGGCAGGGGTCTAGGATGCATGTGGTAGCTCTCATTCCTCCAAGCACCTTGTCCACATCCTCGGATTGAACCAACTGAAATGAATCCATCAAAACCGGACAAGCAGATGCTCGTGTTACATCCTCAGATACTGCCGTTAATATGGTGTCCAGTCCAGAGCGGATCAAAGCGACTTTGTCTGCAAAGAACTGAGCAAAGGCTTCACAGCGAGCTGCCGAGTCATCAGGGCACCCATCCTGCATGGTGGGCTTTAACAGGCCTCTGACAACTCGGAACAGTTCAGCCGGACGGTTCTTTGCAGACGCAATAGTGGCCGCAAAGAAGGTCTTCTTTGCGGCTTTTATTGCCGTGGCGTATGCCCTTAAAAAGGACACAAACCGTGTTCGATTTGGCTCGCTCGGATCCGAACGCCACACGCTCTCTAGTACCCTCTTCTTTCGCTTCAACGCTGCCAGCTCCTCAGTAAACCAAGGAGCTGGTTTAGCTCGGCTACTTGAGAGGGGACGTTCTGGGGCGATCGTGTCTATTGCCCTAGTCATCTCCCCATTCCAGAGAGCGACCAGGGCATCGACAGGATCACCAACCGAGGAGGCGGGAAATTCCCCAAGAGCCGTCAGGAATCCATCCGGATCCATAAGCCTCCTGGGGCGGACCAGTTTAATGGGTCCTCCACCTCTGCGGAGGTTAGGGGGTGCAGTGAGTCTAAAGCTGACCAGGTGGTGGTCGGTCCATGGCAACGGAGAGATGGATAACTCCTCAACACCGCCACCTTCCTCCCATCCCTGGCAGAAAACCAAGTCCAATGTATGTCCAGCACTGTGGGTGGGGCCAGATACCTGTTGGGACAGCCCCATGGTTGCCATGGTAGACATGAAGTCCTGAGCCGCTCCCGATAAGGCAGCCTCGGCATGGACATTGAAGTCCCCCAGCACAAGCAGCCGTTGGGACTCCAATGCCAGGTCCGAGACCACCCCCGCTAGCTCAGGCAGGGAGACTGTAGTGCAGCGAGGTGGACGGTACACTAACAGAATCCCTAATCTGTCCCGGTCACCCACCCTCAGGTGGACGCATTCAAAATTTGTTGACTGCGGGATGGGGGCCCTGGTCAGAAGAATGGAATCTCTATAGACCACTGCAACTCCGCCTCCCCGCCCTCCGGATCTCGGTTGGTGCTGCACAGAGAAACCTGGTGGGCAAAGCTGGGTTAAATTTACACCTCCCGCTTCGTCCAACCAGGTCTCTGTGATGCACGCCAGATCTGCCCGTTCATCCAGGATTAAATCCTGGATGAAAGTTGTTTTACCGTTGACAGATGTCTGTTATGTCTGTTCCATGGTTGTTTCTTGTGAGTGTTTTAGAGAAGTTACTTCTTGAAGATCTGTTTCTGGTCAAAACAAATTTGGACAAGCTCAATGGTTAGTTCCAATTTGTGTATGCCCATCAAATCGCTGGGATTTGCATAAGGATTGACTTGCCATTCATCAAATGATCTAAAGGGTTTGATCTAGTTGGAATGGCCATTGGATTTATTTTGGTTTATCTTCAAAGCTGAAGTCAAATTTGGGACAATGTGCATATAGTGAGCAGAAATCCCATATTCAAGCAATTTTTATGCAGCATGAAGGAATATTTTAATATATTAGCTCATGTTTGAAGCAGGCAGTGGCTCTACTGCTCTAGGCTACTTGGTGCAAAGTTGGGGTCCTGAAAAATTTGGCAAAAATAAAAGTTCTCTGAATGTCAAAAACTAGTGGCTGTTTTTAACATATAAATGAATCTGGTGTACTATGCAGAAGATACGTCATCTGTGCTTTATTAAAAAAGCCTTGCAAATGCTGTTTCATTTTCAGTAAATGTTTGATTCTTATTCCTATTTTATATACTTATTATACACTCAGGGTCACAAACATTTCTTGGGCCAAAAAGAGTCCTGAGTGGGAAAGTTTAAGAAGCCCCATTCTATGCACTAGTTTTACAGGACCAAGCCATTGTGTATAATCTATAGGATTCAGTACCATGGACAGCTCCCAGAAAATCCAGTGTGAATTCACTATCCCAGGGCTCTTCCACACAGCCCTATATCCCAAAATATCAAGGCAGAAAATCCCACATTATCTGAGTGTGGACTCAGATAACCCAGTTCAAAGCAGATATTGTGGGATTTTCTGCCTTGATATTCTGGGATATAGGGCTGTGTGGAAGGGCCCCCAGAGTCATCTGTTGTCTCTGCTAGTAGCTGGCTCAGCATGGTCCATATTGACTACCAGCATTGGATGTGTAGCAGAGGGAGGGGAAAGAGAATTGTCTGCCTAGAGCTAGATGAAGATGTTGGGCATTAGGATCAGGGGCTTGTGGAGGCAGAGCAAGTGAGATATGCATTTGCTCCATTTCATTTCTATTTCTCTCTAGTCAGCAGTTCAAGAACAGGAAACCTTTTTCAAGCTGAGGGTAAAATTTAATTATAGAGAAGTTCTTGGGGGTGGCATTTGGATAGTGGGCAGGAATCAAAGCAAAAGGGTGGGCCCAAAAATACCAGCATATTCACCTTTTGCTGCTGGTAACTAAGCTGTAGGGGAGGATTCAACTGTTTTAAATGGGAGAAAGGCCATACAAAAAACTGGGGAATTCTCAATTATCATAGGGTAAGGAGCATGGTCTTCTGAAGAACATAAGTTGGGATCTCAATGGGCTGGATAGGAGTCCCAGGTGGCGCAATGCTGAAAGAAACAGCATGTTGACAGGTCAGAGATTTGAATCCGGGGAAAGCACAGATGAGCTCCCTCTGTCAGCTCCAGCTCCCCATGTGGGGACATGAGAGAAGCCTCTGACAAGGATGGCAAAACATCAAAACATCTGGGTGTCCCCTGGGCAGTGTCCTTGCAGACGGCCAATTCTCTCACACCAGAAGCGACTTGCAGTTTCTCAAGTTTCTCCTGACATGGAAAGAAAGAAAGAAAGAAAGAAAGAAAGAAAGAAAGAAAGAAAAGTAGGCTGGATTCAATTTTCCTGCTATTGCATAGATCATTATTTGCTGGATAATGTAGATAGGCAGAGATTTTCAGAAAAACATCTATTTCTGTTTTATTGACTATTCTAAAGCCTTTGACTGTGTGGATCATAATAAGTTGTGGCAAGTTCTTGGTAGTATGGGGATACCAATCCACCTTGTCTCTCTCCTGAGGAATTTGTATGAGGACCAAGAAGCAACAGTAAGAACTGACCATGGAACAACAGACTGGGTCAGGATTGGGAAAAGTGTACGGTAGGGTTGTATACTCTCACCTAACCTATTCAACTTGTATGCAGAACACATCATGCGATGTGCGGGGCTGGATGAATGCAAGGCTGGGCTAAAAATTGCTGGAAGAAACATTAACAACCTTAGATATGCAGATGATACCACTGTGATGACTGAAAGTGAGGAGGAGCTGAGGAGCCTTCTAATCAAGGTGAAAGAAGAAAGCACAAAATCTGGGTTGCAGCTAATCATAAAAAAAACCCAAGATTATGGCAACAAGAATGATTGATAACTGGGAAATAGAGGGAGAAAACATGGTGACATTGACAGACTGTGTATTTCTAGGTGCAAGGATTACTGCAGACACAGACTGCAACCAGGAAATCAGGAGGCGCTTACTTCTTGGGAGGAGAGCAATGACCAATCTCGATAAAATAGTGAAGAGTAGAGACATCACACTGGCAACGAAGATCCGCATAGTTAATACAATGGTATTCCCCATAGTCACCTACGGATGTGAGAGCTGGACCATAGGGAAGACTGAGCGAAAGAAGATAGATGATTTTGAACTGTGGTGCTGGAGGAAAGTTCTGAGAGTGCCTAGGACCGCAAGAAGATCCAACCAGTCCATATTTCAGGAAATAAAGCCCGACTGCTCATTGGAGGGATGAATAGTAGAGGCCAAGATGAAGTACTTTGGCCACATCATGAGAAGAAAGGAAAGCTTGGAGAAGACAATGATGCTGGGGAAAATGGAAGGAAAAGGAAGAGGGGCTGACCAAGGGCAAGATGGATGGATGGCATCCCTGAAGTGACTGGATTGACCTTGAAGGAGCTGAGGGTGGTGACTGCCAACAGGGAGCTCTGGCGTGGGCTGGTCCATGAAGTCATGAAAAGTCGGAAACGACTGAACGAATTAACAACAAGCACAGATCATTCTTCTTCTACCATCTAGTGAGATCACACCTATATAACAATAAAAGTAACTAAAAGTGTAAGTCACACTGGAAAAGAGGTAAAGCTATTCGTCTCTATTACCATAGTAATGTGTTGTAGTTATGCCTTAGAAAATGCCAACAGGAGCTAATTTCAAACAACTAGTTATTGCAACTGGTCACTTCAACAGTCTGGTGTACCTGAGCATTTATGATCACTTTTTGTACCTGAACATGTGATCATCAGTTCTGTTCAGCAACTGCAAAACCTAATAACATTTTGGTACTGCAACATACCTGTTAACAAATAAGAGGATTGCTGCTAAGATTACCCCAACACAAATGAAAATGCCACTGATGAGGAAAAAGGCTGTTACTGTATCTGCGCCCCCATTTTTGGTTCGTCTTGTCTCCAGTTCTACAGAGAAGAAAAACTGCTGTTATTTTTTGTTATAGAAATGTTTTATTAAAAACGTATCTATCAAGAAGACTGAAATGTTGACACTTTTATTTTTCCATTGCCTTTAGGAGACAGATAGCAATTTCTTACCTGTGGAAAACACAGAAAGCCATTGCATGTGCTGCATTTTTTTCTGACTAGAGGTTTGAAATGTCACAAGAGAAGGCAATTTGATTAAAGTTGTTTAGTTTTCTATACAACTTAACAAAGCTATTCTGAGCTGTATAAAGGGAGTGTCTAGGAAGAGCAGCTACAGGACCAGTTAGTCACAGTAACCTTAAGTAAAACTGTTCTGAGGACACAATGTACAGTTCTGTATGTACAATTGAAAAAAAGACTGCAATACACCAGGAAGGATTAAGGGTACGCAGCAGAAAAACCTGACATATGGAGAAGCTAAACAAGTAAACAGTTACTATCACTTACAGCAGTACTTCTGTCAAAAATTGACTTAGTAAACTGCAATAACCCTTTAAAATGTTATATAAAATCATTTTAATGAGTGTAAGGTTAAGGGAGGTTAGGTAAACACAATGTTGAACATCATGAGGATTGTTTGGAATACTACACAGAGCTTGAATAGGAGTAACATTCAAAAGTATTTTAGATAAACCAAGGAATGATTGTGGTGAGAGTGAAAATGAAGAAAAATGATCCCTGGAAAGTGCTGTATCCACATGTAAACAACATGGTACACAAAGTACATAAATCAATGAAGGAAACTCTCAGACTTCACACCTACCCCTGATTAGGAAGCTTTTGCGATAATGGATAGCTCTCATTTATTTAAGGAAGTGGTAAAGATGTTATTTTAGGCTGATGATACTATAACATGATGACAGCTTATCAGCTGAATTACTAGACGGTTTCCCAAATTACTTTGAGGGTGCCCTCACCCCAAAATATGTTTCACAAATTATAATGGTTCTTTTCCAATAACTTAATCATTACTAATGATGCTAAAATATTGAAAAATAGCACCATTGGGTAGCTATACATGTTACTGTTGAAGTTGTTAATATGAAAAGAAGCACAAAAGTTATATGTGGCCAGAAAGGTCATGGGGTATAGCCTTCCCGGGTTTTTACCACTTCAGGTTGCAGGTGTAGAATTGCAAGGCTAATGCTTTCCCATGCAACGCTTGCATATGTGGAAAGACAGCATGTCAGACAACAAGAAGAATTGTATCCCCGCTTCTTCTGTCATTCATTTTCCACATATGAGTTACATTGTTTTGCATGTTATTGCACATGGAGGCACATTGAAACATTCAATATCACAATTTTAAAAAATTACAACAGCCAATTTAAAAAAATTACAACAGCCTGTAAATTAATCCATACAAATTACTAGCTTGTGTCTTTCTTTTTTACCAACCTGTGATAACATGAGAATTTTGTTTTCCAGTCATTAGCAAGTGAGTTATAATAGAAAAGGGAGGAAAAGAAGCTTTCCTTCTACCACATACTTTGTATATGTGTGTGTAGGTACCTCTCCAAGCTGTTGTCAACTTATGGCAATGCTATTAATTTCATAGCATTTCCTTGGGCAGAAGTGGTTTTGCCAGTTCTTTTCTCAGGGCCCTTCTAGACGGGCCCTATATCCCAGGATCTGATCCCAGGATTTCTGTTTATCCCAGATTATCTGGCAGTGCGTACTCATATAATCTAGTTTAAAGCAGAAAACCTGGGATCAGATCCGGGGATATAGGGCTTTTCTGGAAGGGCCCTCAGAGCTATAGCTTTGTTAGGGCTCTCCCATCCAAGTACTAACCAAGGTGACCCTGCTTATCTCCTAAGATCAGCCAGGATTTGGGCCATTTAGAGTATTTAGGCCTTTCTGCCACATAGGTTGGTGGATCTAGAGTGGGGTACAGTTCCACAATGGCATCCATATGAAGGGACCCACATCTATCATAGCTAGCAGAGAAACCAAGCTGATACAAGAGAGTTGGAAGGGATCACTGCTCTCTGCCACAGCCAGCATGGAAGTGCAATAAACCAAGTACGGAAGAGCAGAGTGGCCCCTCTCACAGGCTTCTTCTTGATCATCATAAAGGGAGAATTCCCTTTTTGTGGCCAACATGTAAATACTGTCAGGATTTGGAAATTACCTGACATTTTCTAAGTGACAGCGGAGTTAATACTTCTGGCCTAATCCCAGGTAAAAGAGTTAAGCTACTGTAAATTAGGGTGTGGTGGTTAATGCAATGGGAGTACTATATAGGTTGCAGTTATACTGAGTTAGTTTGATGAGGGACGGATGGTGGTTGTTGGGAGGGAAGACAAACGAATGAACTGTAATGTTTGTATATATTGCTGAAACTAAAGAAGAAAAAAAGACTTCCTGATTATTTGGGAAAGAAGAAGTCTCTGTGTGTTTTGTTGTCTGAGTAGAAGACTACTACAATTGTGTTTTTGAACACCTGGTTCCTTAACTGGAGCTAACAGAGTCACTTCCACAAGAACAGGAGTTTTATGACTTCATAGAACCCCTGACAAATACAACAGGTTGTCAAGGAAAGGTACAACACATCTCTCTTCCATCCCATAAGGTTACTTTCTGAGCATGACAGATATGTGAGTGGGCAAAAGGTTGAATTTTTACATTGCTTCTTAGTAATATTCTCAAATTGATTTACCATTTCAACTTTCTTAAAACACAGTGAATATACAAATAAATATTATTGAGAAGAAAGCTGTATTTAGATCTGACAGAGGTTGGCCAGCACCCTGGTATATGTGTGTGTAAACACAGAAGTCTATTCACTTGCCTTTACAGTCCACCCAAAACCTTCCCAGTGTCTGACAGCTGTCAAGCAACAGGAAGGGCTCCTGCTGCTGTTGTATACAATTGAGGAGGGGTTGGGAAGGCAAATCAGACCCAAAATACCCAGCTGCTCTGAGCTCTCAGGGGAAGGAAAAGGCATCTCCCTCCTCCTCCTCAACTGAGCTATAGACCAGCTGCTTCACTAGAATCACCTCCCTCTCTCCTTTTCCCACAGCTGAGGAACAGAAAGACGGGCCCTTTCTGGTGCTTAACAGCTCCTAGGCACTTGGAAGATCTAGAACAGTATGCATAGAATTACATGTCAATGCAGGAACTTGGCCATTACCTTAAGCACAATATGCAATCATATGTGTAACTTCAAGTTCCCTGTCAACTTACAGAAATCCCATGAACTTCATATAGTTGGCTGAGGCAATGAATATTCACAGTTGCCTTTGCAAAATCCTTGCTCTGAAATACATCTTACAGCACTTGGTATTAGCTGCCTGTCTTTAATCCAGGCACTAACCAGGGCTTATCCTGCTTGGTTTGCAAAATCAGACAGAAGCTGGTGATTTTAGGGTATTCATGTAGTAGTAATAGTAGTAGGACACAATTTTCCACAATATAGTGGTTTTTTTGTGGGCTGGAGTTTGGCTCCATGTTCCCCCCACACAGATATCCAAATTCATGGATGCCTAAATCCCATTATATACAATGGCTTAGTAAAATGTGACCCTTTATATAAAATGGCCAAATTAAAGTTTGTTTTTTGAATATTTAAAAATATTTGCAAGCTGTGTATGCAGAATCCATGGATATGTTGTTGTTGTTCATTCATTCAGTCGTCTGCGACTCTTCGTGACCTCATGGACCAGCCCACGCCAGAGCTCCTTGTCAGCCGTCACCACCCCCAGCTCCTTCAAGGTCAGTCCAGTCACTTCAAGGATGCCATCCATCCATCTTGCCCTTGGTCGGCCCCTCTTCCTTTTGCCTTCCACTTTCCCCAGCATAATTGTCTTCTCTAGGCTTTCCTGTCTCCTCTTGATGTGGCCAAAGTACTTCAACTTTGTCTCTAGTATCTTCCCTCCAATGAGCAGTCGGGCTTTATTTCCTGGAGGATGGACTGGTTGGATCTTCTCGCAGTCCAAGGCACTCTCAGAACTTTCCTCCAACACCACAGCTCAAAAGCATCTTCCTTCGCTCAGCCTTCCCTAAGGTCCAGCTCTCACATCCGTAGGTTACTACAGGGAATACCATGGCTTTGACTAGGCGGATCTTTGTTGCCAGTCTGATGTCTCTACTCTTCACTATTTTATCGAGATTGGACATTGCTCTCCTCCCAAGAAGTAAGCGTCTTCTGATTTCCTGGCTACAGTCTGCATCTACAGTAATCTTTGCACCTAGAAATACAAAGTCTGTCACGGCCTCCACATTTTCTCCCTCTATTTTCCAGTTGTCAATCATTCTTGTTGCCATAATCTTGGTTTTTTGTTTAGCTGCAACCCGGCTTTTGCGCTTTCTTCTTTCACCTTGATTAGAAGGCTCCTCAGGTCCTCCTCGCTTTTGGCCATCAGAGTGGTGTCATCTGCATATCTGAGGTTGTTAATGTTTCTTCCAGCAATTTTCACCCCAGCTTTGCATTCATGGATATATAGACGGCCAATTGTATTATGTTCCCTAAATAGCTGAGCAGGGTCAATGGGTAACTTTTGCAAAGAAGGTCTAGAGCCAGCTGTGTTTCTTATTTACCTCTCGGTTACAGTGGAGGAGCATTTCCTCCCAGGACAAAGCAAGGGAGTTGAACACCCTCTGCAGAAAAGAATATCTACTAATATATGTTTAGGGCTACTTGCAGCCTGATGAGCAAGCTCCATGCTTTGTTTTTGGTTCAAGGAAAAGATAAGATGTCCTGAAATGGTTGCCTGCCAGGACAAAGATTTAATTCCATGGAAAACATAGGGAGCATTGCTGAATATTCTGTACTCTGCAAAACTACTGACTCTCTGTATACTGTTTCCAGGTAATGACAAATGTGGCTGATGTGTCACACAGAGTTTGCAGGGCAGTGTGTTGCAATGCAACAGACTCTGCCTGCATAGGAAATGAACTGAATTAATGAAAACTACGCAGCAAAATTGCCTCCGCACAGCCAACTGTATCATGTTCATGTGGGTGCTGCTGCCGCCATTTTTGAAAACTGGCCAAGTGCTGCCTCCACCTCCTCTCCCCTGTTGTTGCCAATATACTTGTTCACACGGGTGACAGAACAAGGAGCATGCTCTGGATCTTGTCTGGCTCTCTCGGCACACGGCAAGAGAAGAAGGCTCCTCTTTACTTACAATACTCTAGTTCTCTAGGAGTTATTCTTTACAGGGACTAGAATACATTGAAAAGATCTGAAGAGGGAAGGCTTGATTTATATCAAGTAGAAGGAATTAATAATTAGAAAAACAGCAAGCAGCAGGTAGTGTGATATCCATCAGTGGATCGCCACCTGATTTCCAGCCAATCAGCAAGATTTTTTGACTTCTAACCAATAACAACAGTAACAGCAAAATGACTTTCCCCTATCCTATATTACAGAGAAATGAAAATAACTAGAATGGTGTGTATAATCAGAAAAAAGAGGAATACTGTGTTGTTGCTGTTTTGGGGTGTGGGGGAGTGTATGTGGAAGGATTTTGCTCTCTGTATGATTCCAGGACTCAAAACAGGTTCTTCACTCAAATTGATTTAATTCAAATTATTATCATTTGCACAAGGCTCCAGTTCTTGGCTCTTCAAGATTCAAATAAGAAGCAAATTTGGTCCCACAAGCCTGAAATCTGCTTCCTTCCCACACACCCTTTAGTCTAGAACTGCACTGAAAAGCAAAACAGTGCTTAAATATAAGAGATCAAAAGAAGACACATTCAGGCAAAATGAACAAAGAGCTTTGTGTCACCTTAAAGACTAGCACATTTTTTATAGAATAAATGTATTGGGGTTTTTTGCTGCCACAGAATAACATGCTTTGGAAAATAGGCAATATGTTCCATACTGCTAACTTTCAGAGGATACCAGTTTCATTCACTGGGGAAATTCAAGAAATTGCTTGTGCAGATTGTTCATTGCTTTTGATATTGTGACTACTCATCTCACTGTTGCCTCAAATTGATAACAAAACTAGCTGCGCTGCCCAATTCAAAGAAGAAAATTATTATATTCTTTATATAGGGAAGGTCCCAAGTCTTATCATAATCATGACCTGAGAATGGGATGAGTCCATTCCTCTTACAATTCATTTTTTTAATGCCATGTATAGTTTTAACTGCGCGGCAGGCTGATCATTTCTTGGATGGTTGCTGCTTTCATTCTATCCTAAGGAGAATTTATTTACAGACTACATGAGCAAACTAAAGGTAAAAAGAGTGTTTAATGGCAAAATAGATCCTAGAGAAGAGGGTACTTTGACCATTAAGCTACCCATTAAGAAAAGGCATATCAGCTAAAACTGGACCACAGTTACCAGTTTTTAACTACCTAGCCTTAATGCTTGCTGCTTTGGCAGGTAACCAAGTTTGTGGGAGGAAAGTATGCCAACTGAAATACCACTGCAGTACCATAAAAAGGTCACACAACGATTGCAACAATGCAGCTTCCCCAGGAGATGCATTTGTAGTAATGCAGAAAGTTAGGAAGTGCTAGGAAAGGTATGCAAGGAAGCCAGCTGACACACCCCATGGACTGATGATTGTTTTTTGATCCATAAAGAGATAACAACAAGATTAAAGGCACTTTGAAACCTACTAAACTTAATATTTTCCTGTGGTTCATGATTCACTTGGGGGGGGAAACCATAAGCATACTCAGGCCCTCAATACCCATGAAATCCATTGCTCCTCACCCCTAATTCCTATCAACACGAACCTGGCAACTTATTCAGTGAACAACTACTGATATTCCATGCCTAATGCTTTCTCAGCAGGGCACAAGCAAAGCTTGTATTTGTGTCCAGCACTTGGAAATCAAGAGTCAGATCAATCTTCATTTAAATCAATTGGCATTGTCGAAAATATCTATTAATATCCGCAGGCTCAGGAAGGAAAAATATACGTAAGAAGAAATATTTACCAATCGCCTCCAATTCTGGTAATTTTCCAACTGTGTCTACTCATTCAGTCATTGTTACTGTGACATAGAGGAAACATTACAGGAGGAAAAAAATACCTTGCAAATTGTTTTCCTCCCTTCAAAACCAGGGACAGGGTGTTCAAAGTCAACACTATCAGCCTGTCATGAATCTGCCTGCTGTGCAGAGACTTTGAACCTGCAGTAAAACCTTCCTAAATATGAATCAAGAAGCATATTTACAAAACCCCCATGGAGCCATCCACAGACAACAGTCTTGTTCACTTCTCTTAAGGTTGTTTTACAGTTTATACATTTCAGCTTTGGGCTAGATGACCAGAAATCAAATAAGTTGTGCTCAGTAAATGTTTTGTAGTTTCATGGTAGATGGATTAAAAGAAGGAACCTGCAAAAATGTCATCTTCTAGATATTTATTCAAAGTAACAGATACCATGCCTTCTTTACTATCCTGCTTATGAATGCATTCTCAAGCATTACTCAAGGATCATCTCTAGTCTGCATATTCAGGTCTTTCCTGTAGACAGACATAAAACTCATGCTAAACCAATTTAAATTCCATGAGGGGTCTTCCACAGCTGCCAATACACAACTCAAAACATGGCTAAGTCTTAACTGCAATAAAATGGAGAAGGGCATTGTCACAAGAGGAAAGAGGTTTTCTCTTCATGTTGATTTCAGACTTCCTTTGAAGCCCTACAATTGATATTGGCTTTGAGTGGCAAAACTCAAGATGACAGCTGCAAGTAGTACATCAGCAAAATTCTTCATCTGAAGCACTGCAAGATCATTACAAAGAGCCTGGGGAGAATTGAACAAGGTGTCACCAGCTGCTTCTGTTAAACTGCCTGATCTTCCCATCTTTTGAAATTAGTAAAGGGAGAAATATAGTAAAAGAAAAAAAGAGGATGCAGATTAAATGCAGTGCAACAATAAATTAATCGATGCAGATTATATTTTATATATATATATATATATATATATATATATATATATATATATCTCAATTACAGGTTGCATGCTGTGGCTATAAAAATGTCATTATTTTTCAAGACTGTTTTCCCCTATGGCATGACCCGTCAAGTGACAGTACTGATGACTTCTCATTTATTTTAATGTGGTTTGCACAGAAGTCTGTGTTTTTCTCATCCATTGCTCCATCTGTAGTTCACAATTTATAGAGACCCTAGATTCATTTATAATTATAGGTTTTACAAACAAAATAGCTTTAAAAATATTTATGAACTCCTACAAACTTACCAGCTGTTGTATATATTGTGTATTTTACAGATGCAATCAATTCCCCTTCTTCGGTGGTATCACACTCTAATGCAACTGGGTGAGTGTCCCTGTGTACCTCCAGAATAGCAGAATCATTTGGAAGAATGAGTGATTGCTATCAATTCAAAGGTGACAAAAAACAAAAACAAAGTTGGAATATCTCATAATAAAAAACACTATGCTAAAAAAATGACTTTTATAGTAAATACTCTTTCCCTGACATAGTAAGTACTCTTTCCCTGCCTTTGAATGTGATTTTCCTGCTTCTTGGTAGAGGGTTGGACTAGATGGCCCACAAGGTCTCTCCCAACTTTATGACCCTTTTCGTCAGGAGCTCCTTACAATATTTTAAATCATGCATCTTCTCAGATCACTAAATGTCTACTTTGTTCTTTATATCCAAGCCTTTAGTAAAGATGCGGTCAACTACAAATGCATCGGGGGGCAATTTTCACTATTGTGTCCCCCACCAGAAGGCAATACAATTACATTCCAGTACACCATAACATTTCCTCAATTACAGGCTAAAAATCAGGGGTTTAGAGCATTAGCATCTTGTGCGAGGGGCTGCAAAACTGGGGCTCCGGTGTGCATAGACTCTTCTCATTCTGCACTCCTGTATTAATGAACAGGAACTGTAGGGTTCACCAAAAAGCCTCTGACAATTGTTCATGATTCCAATGCTCAGAATATGCTTTTTGTGAAAAAAAAATATTCAAAATACAGCAAACTTACACAATTATTATTTGTAAGCAAATAAGCAAGAGTGAAAATGGGGCAACAAGTAAGTTGATAGACAAGTTAATGGGAAAGTGGTCACTATTTTATAGACTACAAAGCCAGTAAATAATGGTCAAGAAGGAAACCACTCCTCTCCCCCCAACACACACACAAAGAGTTCTCAAAAGTACTTAAGTACCTAAGCTATTTTTAAAACCCATCATGTTTTGGAGTATAAAATTTCTCCTTCAGGGGATTCTCTTCCCACAAAACCAAAGTAATAATCTCTAATGAGCTTTTCTGTGCTGAAACTCAGCTAGAATATGTTTTTAATTCCAAACAATAGGCATAGTGAATAAAAGAACCACGGTATGAGAAGAAGCATTTTTTCTTCAAGGTATGGCCCACACTTTATTATTCCTTCTCTCACCTTCAACAATGTGTTGGGAGTAGCTAAACAGAAGGTCCACCTATCCTACTATGTTATGTAGGATAGGAAACACATTAGCCTGGAGCATTCAAACAATGTGCCAGGTTAATACACTTTAACCCAGAATAAACCTGTTGACCTAGGTTTATTGCAGGTTTTAAAAACATCTGTAAAGGTCCAGACCTTCCAGCAAGGTCCCTAAAACTGAAGCCCTTTCCACACAGCTGAATAAAATCCCACATTATCAGTTTTGAACTGGGATATATGGCACTGTGAATTCAGATAATCCACTTCCAAGCAGATATTGTGGGTTATTCTGCCTTGATATTCTAGGCCTTAAAGGTGCATCTAGGTTGAAGAATTTGGCACCATTTTGTCTGATATGGTTCAATCCTATGGAATCCAGAGAGTTGTAGTTTGGTGAGGCACTAGTGCTCTGCAGCAGAGAAGGCTAAAAACCTTGTAAAACTACAGCTCTATGGATTGCAAAGGACTGAGCCATGGCAGCTGAGTGTTGTCAAACTGAATTCATTCTGCAGTGTAGATGTACCATAAAATGAAAGGATTACGTTCCTCTTTGATTAAAACAAGGGAGAAAGACATTTGGTAATGAATATAGCTGGATGAAGAAATATTTACTATATTAGAAAGATGGCTCAGAGTGAATGTGTGTGTTGTGTAAATAAGAACTACGAAGAATGATTTATTTGAGTCTCACACATTTTTATTTTATTTCTAAGCCCACTATTATTTTTGTCCTTCAGGCTACTGCTTCTTTAATTTAGACCATAAACTCTTTGGGGAGATTAATAAATTCTAGGACAGTGGTTCTCAACCTGTGGGTCCCCAGATGTTTTGGCCTTCAACTCCCATAAATCCTAACAGCGAGTAAACTGGCTGGGATTTCTGGGAGTTGTAGGCCAAAACACCTGGGGACCCATAGGCTGAGAACCACTGTTCTGGGAATTAGTGGTATCACTTCCAAAAAGAGAGTTGCACAAATGATATGAAATTACTCACCTGCTCTGGAATTAGCATTTTCCAAGTATACTGAAATCGATTTTCTGGAGGTACATAGATACAAGGTATCTTCACACTAGTAAGACTTTCAGAAATTGGTCTGCCCCCTGCGGAAGACAGGTTTAACAATCATTTTGTGTCTGTCCCAAAAAAGGAACAACTACTATTGAGTCGTTATCATTATTATTTTTAATAACAGGAAGTACAGTATTCTCTGGTAATGAGGGCTAGTATGGTGTAGTGGTGTAAACATTGGACTACAATTCTAGATTCAGGGTTCAATCCTCTATTTGGCCATGGAAACCCATTGGGTGACCTTGAGTAAGTCACACACAATCAGTCCCAGAAGGCCCCATGATAGGTGCACCTTAGAGCCACCATAAGTCCAAAATCATGAACACCAGAATGACAACAAATATTGGTAACAGCCGAAGACTGTAGAAACTATAATTAAACCGGAACAATTATAAATTGCAATCTGTTGTATTAATATTTAAAATGGCTTGGAAATATTTACAAGAGCATGCCATTTTTAGCATATCCGAGCATCAATACATGCCATTCTGGGAAAAGGCATCAATTGTTAGCAGCTTACCCATTGAATCTAATTATGAAGCACTCTGTTATTCTCAGATCCTTACTTACATCCACAATCTGATGGTCCTCTACACTCTTCCATTCGGACAATGCACTTTGTTTCACCTCCAGGGCATCCATTTATTAATAAAACTTCTCGGATGCCAATCCCTTTGATCAAAATAGAAAAAGGAAAATTATTTCTGCATATAGTTTGTGTCCAGCCACTTCTGAAAATCTTTTCTCTTTATGAAGGATACTTCTTTAGGTCACAGATTTTTGAACTTTTCCAGTCGGGACCCCTTTATTTGACCCCAGGTATGTAAAACAGGTATAGAAATCAAACATTTACCGATTTTTATTTTTATTCGTGTCAGGAGCAACTTGAGAATTGGCCCAGGGGATGCCCAGATGTTTTGATGTTTTACTATCCTTGCGGGAGGCTTCTTTCATGTCCCTGCATGGGGAGCTGGAGTTGACAGAGGGAGCTCATCCATGCTCTCCCCGGATTTGAACCTCCAAACTGTCGGTCTTCAATCCTGTCAGCACAAGGGTTTAACCCATTGCACCACCGGGGACTCCTAACATTTACTGATCATGAATCAGTATTTGCAAGGCTTGCTAATTGGGCTGATTTTCCTTTTGTTTAATTTTTTTTGAAGTACAGCTGAAGCATCTTCTGCAGAATTCACTGTAAGCAATGCACAACATATTTGTGTAAATGTCTAAAGCCGGCACTAGGAGATGGTCAGAAAACTTTTCAGGACCCAACACTGACCCCATTTGGGGTCGAGACCCACAGTATAATAAGCACTGCTTTAATTTACCTTTTCAACCAAGCAATTTCCTTCTTACACCTAAAATTTGGAGCTGTTACCCATTTTGCCTGTGACAACTACCTAGATGATGGTGTTCCCAAAGTGTAAAAACATGATTAAAAAGCACTATGTTTTTCGTATGAGGCACTCTTCCTCTAGTAGTATGCAATATGCACTTTCATTTTATGCACTGCTAAAAACAAACAAGTTAATTAAAATTTAAATATCAACGCTAGCTTGCAGCCTTCGTGAACCTGGCCTTTCAAAGCCTCCGCCATCTGGTGCCTGGAGCATTTTTTGCTCTGATGAGCTCATGCGAACAGGTGCTGAGCATCCTTAACTCTTATTCATATCAATGGAATAAATGCAGTGCGATTGAACACCTAACAGCTTGGGAGATTTCAGGATGGGAACATATACTTATGGTAGCATAGCTTGCGAAAACCTTCAGGTGTCACATTAGTCTCATCTTCTAAGCAACCTTCGTGAGAGAAACAGAACTGTATACATAAACCTATCACTGTGACATATAGTCTGAAAATGACTTACCATGTTTATCCTCCATTTTGTTCTGATTGCTGGCAGCACACACATCTCCACATGTATTTAATTCAATGTGATTTATATACACAATAATAGCCCCACTGAACTAGAAAGATATGGTATGCTTTGGCTCATCATGATTCTCCGTCAGGAGTACCCAATCTAAAATATTTCTTCCACTGTGAATTTTATGTGTTCCTATCTGCTGTGCTTTATATCTATCTATCTATCTATCTATCTATCTATCTATCTATCTATCTGTCTGTCTGTCTGTCTGTCTGTCTGTCTGTCTGTCTGTCTGTCTAAAAGCAGAGGTTGAGCAACTCCCAAATGTCAAGGTATATTTTCCCCAAACTCCGCCAGTGTTCACATTTGGGCATATTGAGGACTCATGCCAAGTTTGGTCCAGATCCATCATTCATTGAGTCCACAGTGCTCTCTGGAGATAGGTGAACTACAACTCCAAACTCAAAGCCAATGCCTACCAAACCCATCCAGTATTTTCTGTTCGTCATGGGAATTCTGTGCACCAACTTTGGTTCAATTCAATCATTGGTGGAGTTCAGAATGCTCTTTGATTTTAGGTGAACTATAAATCCCAGCAACTACAACTCCCAAATGACAAAATTAATCCCCACCCACCAGTATTCAAATGTGGGTGTATCGGGGATTTGTGCCCAATTTGGTCCAGTGAATGAAAATAAATCCTGCATATCAGATATTTACATTATGATTCATGACAGTAGCAAAATAACAGTTATGAAGTACCAATGGAAATTGTTTTATGGTTCGGGGTCACCACAAAACGAGCAACTGTATTAAGGGGTCAGGGCATTAGGAAGGTAGAGAAACACTGGGTAGAAGGAACACTAACACATTTTTATTTTAATTGTATCCACTGACATTTACACTAATCATTATTGCCTGACCTTGAGCACATCTACACTGACCACTACATCCAGAGTGAAACTGACATAGAAGGAAGTGGCTTCACTCTGCAGATGATTACATGGGAAGCCCTGAAATCAGTTCAGGGCCAGATGGAACTGGAGAGGCTGGGTTCCAATGGTCCCAGGATCTGCAATATTCAGTCTGACAGAGAATGTACCTTTTTTTCAACTCCCCCTGCTGAATTCGCATGTGCAGGTCAGCAAAACCTCATGGGTGTCGGTACAGTGATTCGAATTCTGCAGAGTTGCTTTCACCAGAACACTGATACACATTAAGGATTCTATTTCAAAGTATTCCTTGACTTTGCTTATGCCGGTTCAAAGGAATTAAAGCACACTGCTCTGCACATTCTTAGTGTGCGTAATACAACCACCACATCCAACAGCTTTCAAACTGTTTTAAATGGTCAGTGTAGATGTGCCCCATGCATGAATACTGGTCTTAGGACACCTGCATCACTCCGAAAATTTGAGGAAAATCATATAAAGAAACTCTCGCTACCAGTTATTCAGTTGTTCACTAAATGTTAGCTTTAGTGTTTTAAGACCATTTTTGTTTCTGCTGTGTTACTATTGTAGTCATATGTTAACCTAGGCACTCAAGTCATCCTTTAAAAAAGAATAAAAGATCTGGCACTATGTAACTCTGGTTTGCCAGTTCAAAAAACATCCCAAGCCTAAGATCTTGGTGCCCAAACGGGAAAGCTTGGGGAAGCCCCATGTGATGTACCAGACAACAAGCCCTGCTGATGTAATTGGGCATGGAAACTTAAGTACTGATCATAGTTGCTCAGAGCGTATAATTCAAATAAGAAACAAGAAGTCTCAACATTAATAAGAAAACATTTCACAGTTTAGGAATTCAGTTTTTTGCATTCTGTTTGAACAGAAAAAAATCTCTACCATTTCTTAGCTGTTTGGTTTACACATTCTCATCATGCTACCAATATTCAGCTATTACTACACATGTCTGTTTGGAAGCAAGGCTTAGTGAATTGAATGAGACTTTATAACTTTAGAATATTGTTTAAGAGTCTGCCATGTCATAGCTATGATTGAATGGGTGAGTGGTGAAGTAAAAGAGAAAGAAAACTGTAGAAACAGTTGCAGGAAGGACGGTGATTAAATTGGGATGTCATTGTTGTTGCTATTGTTATTTCTATTCCACCTTTTTCCCAGTTTGAGGCTTATAAGACTTTTTAAAAAACAGTTTAAAAATATACAAAATGCCAAAGTTAAAAAGAGATTAAGCAATAAAAAATCAAAATCACATTAAAACATGCACTATTAAGGACACATACACATATATGCCAGCAGAACAATTAGCAAGATTTAGCACACTGTTTAAGTGACTTAGGCTTTAAACAACCAATCATCAAATGCTTATCAAAATAAAGAAATATTTAAGTGTCCACTAAAAGATAGAATGCAGATGTCAGTCTATGTTCTCTGGGAAGGGAGTTTCAGAGCGTAGGGGTAGCCTCTGAGCCTCTCATGTTCCCACCAGATGAACTTGTGGAGGGAACCAAAAGAAGGACCTTCCCAGTAGATCTCAAAGCATCCACAGGTTTGCAACAAAGAATGTGTTTGAATGTCTTGAGGTCACACAGATTTCATAAGGTTTTCTTAGGAAATGCTTACTTAGAGATGCTTTTGCGAGAGAGAAGGATGGGGAAGGGAGAGTGGGAAGAAGAAAACAAATACAGCCCCATCTACACTGTCATTATAATGCAAATTGCGCCCAATTGCACCCAATTCTATTCCACCAAAAGGAAGAAGTCCAGACCATGAACCAGTGTCTGGCACCTGTAATGGACTGGATGAGGACGAACAAATTGAAATTGAATCCAGACAAGACAGAGGTTCTCCTGGTCAGCTGTAAGGCAGATCAGGGTATAGGGAGCAACCTGTGTTGGATGGGGTTATACTCCCCCTGAACACTCAGGTCCATAGTTTGGGGGTCCTTCTGGACTCATTACTAAGCCTGGAAAATAGCACCCACACTTTGAGAAGCCAGACTTGGCCATGGTGGTCCACACCTTGGTCACATCTCACTTAGATTACTGTAATGGGCTCAATGTGGGGCTGCTCCTGAAGAGTGCCCAGAAACTTCAATTAGTCCAAAGAGCTGCAGCCAGCTTTCTCACAGGTGCTGGACCCAGACAGCAGACAACCCCTCGGCTACAGCACCTGCACTGGCTGCCAATCTGTTTCTGAGACCAATTCAAGATGATGGTTTTGACCTTTAAAGCTCTAAACAGTTCAGGTCCAACTTACATATCTGACCGCATCTCCTCAAACCAACCGACGCTCTCTTTAACATCTTCTGGTGAGACCGTACTTTCAATTCCACCACCATCGCAAATGCAACTGACATCGACAAGGAAGAGGGCATTTTCGGTGGACACCCCAACCCTGTGGAACACCCTCCCAAAACAAATTAAAACAGCTCCCTCTCTTTTTTTCCTTCAAGAACCAATTAAAAACTTTCCTGTTTAGACAGGCTTCTAGTGAAGGAAACTAAGCTGGAGGGATAAGAAACACTATAATGTTTATGGACTGGAACAAAGTGCAATATGATCTAACATGATGCTACAAGAATGTGAATGCATATTATTGTTGTTTTGAATTGTTATTTTATGATGTTTTATACTTATTATCAATGTATTTGGATTATTGTTTACATGATTTTAATACAATGTAAGCCGCTTTGGGTCCCATGAGGGAGAAAAGCAGGATATAAGTATATGATGATGATGATGATGATGATGATGATGATGATGATAATATGGCAGTGTATACTCATATAATCCAGTTCACTCTGCATTATAGGAGTCTACACTGACCAAACTGCATTACATGGCAGTGTAGATGGGGTCTAGGTGGCTAAAAGAGAAAACATGAGATCAGAAAAAGCGTAGAAAGAAAATTGCAGAAGGCAGAGGAGAGAAATAGAAGAGAAGAAGAGGATAGGAAAGCTACTGAGGCAAGAGGTGTTGGAAGGGAGGAGAGGATGCTGGAAAAAGAGAGGAAGAAAAAGTGTTTTAGTGAAGAGTTGCAGGAGTAAGGCAAGAAAAGGAGAAAGAGAAGCAGTACAGAGCAAGAAGAGTAAATGAGTATATGCGAAAGTTTCATGGGGAAAGAAAGCAAAAAAGGAAAAAAGGAAGATGTTTAGCAAGGAGTTCAGGGTAGGGGAGAAGGAGAAATAGCATGAAAATATGAGAGAAAGAAAAAAGAGAATTAAAAGAAAAATAAATTAATTGCCTAAGCAGAACTGAGGGAAAAAGCCATTAATTTCATGCTGGTTTTTTTGTCAACACAGTATAATCACATGTGCCTCAGACCAAGAAATTAAATTATACTGTGGCTTCAACCATTCAGGGAAGGTTGGGGCAAGCCAGAACAGAACAGGGAAAGTTAATAGTAAGACTTAAAAAACTGCAAAGCAACAGACTTTTATAATCACATTCACAAGCTCCGGAGGTGCTGATTTCAGAGATTTATCTCTGATGACTGCACTGCATTCTGTCACTGACAGATGTTGAGAAATTTTGGGGAGAGCAATGCCAGGCAAATGTACTGAACAGAGAGCAGAAGCTGTTCTGAATATGTCTTCAGTAGGTTTTTTTCTGTGTCAGAAGCAACTTGGGAAACTGCAAGTTGCTTCTGGTGAGAGAGAATTTGGACGTTGCCCACGGGATGCCCAGATGTTTTGATGTTTTACCATCTTTTCTCTCATGTCCCCACACGGAGAGCTGGAATTGACAGGGGGAGCTCATCCAAGCTCTCCCTGGATTCGAACCTCTGACCTGTCAGTCTTCGGTCCTGCACAAGGGTTTAACCCATTGCTCCACCGGGGGTCCGTCTTTAGTAGTGGGAACCAACAAAATATGGCGGTGTATATATATAGTCTCTTTCCAGGACTGTGCTCTTGCTTTGAAACCTCAAAGGCCCGACCTGAGGTCTGGAAAAGAGTGGCCGGGTCCCAAGACTGAGGAGTGGGCCCTGAGATCGGGAAGTCCCTCCTTACATGTCATATTTACTATAAAAATCCCATTGAGCTCAAAGACACTTCCCTCTTGCTAAGTGTGAAGAGGATTATGCTCAAAGAAAACAGAGATTTCTGTGTGCAATGGAAATCAGGTATAGAATTTCAAGTCTCAGACATCAACCTTTCACTTAGAAACTTCATGTTATTATCACACACACATTCAACACATGAGCTGTGTTTCTTTGCTTTTCTCTTTTTCTTCTACCAAATACTTTGTGTTCAGCTCACGCAAATGGCATAGGACACGAGAGAGGAAAGAAGAGTATGCTTAGTCCCAGTAAAAACTGAATAGATTGCCATCTATTATAGAAATATTTTGTTTACTGAATAATACAGGAATAGGGAGTTTTGAAAAACCCTTCTGCGACCCAGAGATAAACAAGAACAAAGTCTATTTGAATATTGAATTAATCCCTGTGCATATGACAAAAATACCTTGAGGCGAGTATTTTGCATCTCTCAATGCTTAGAATATATCCTGGTGGATTCTGTAATATTTCTTAGGTGACATTTAAAACTCATGGAACATTACCTCAAGTGTCAGAGGGAAGCAGAAACATACACTAGAACTGTCACAAAACAAGGATCTTGCTTACATAGCTATGAATGCCTCATTTCAACGATGCAAAAACCTGAGATGAATGTGACAATGAACTGACACCTTGGTCAAAGAAATTTCCTTTTGTTTTGGAAACCTGGGGGACTGAAACACATAGAAACACACACACACAAACAATGCAGGGACACTATGGTTAAAAACAAGGAGGAGAAAACAGATTTGAGAGTAACAAGGCTATGACAAAACACTCTTCTAGTCCTGGAGGGGTGAGTGGGTGGGTGGTGACAGCAACCTTCTAATTGGGCCACCATTGCAAATGACTTTTACCCCAACTTCTATCTCTGGCTTGCACTCAAATCTGGTCACCAAGTGCTACTTTTGACTTCTGCCCTTGGGATTCTTCCACCTGCCTACACAGAAAGATGAACTACCAGTCAGTCCTCCTAAAGGACACTGAAAATTGTTGGTGTTTAATTGGAAGAGAGGGACTTGGGAGAAAAAAGGCTCTGAGTGAGCTATGTCTACCAAAATCTACTTGGCGGAGAGGTGTCCCCGTAAAAAGAAGGGTTTGTCATAGCTGAAGAAATGCAATGGTATTATATTTTTATCTCATTTGCCATATGAAAAAATAGTGGTGCTTCGAATGTTTTGGGCATTAAATAGACAGACAGATATTATTGATCTGAAGATACTAGATTTAGTCACAACAGGAACACCCTAAACAAAGGGAGGGACTGGAAATAGCTCCTTGAGGTTTCTACCTCCAGTCATGGTAAAGAGTTTTTGGGACTATAATTGGCTGAGATTTACCTATGTTATTATTGTGTGTTTCTACACACACACACAAAAGATAGACATCCTGGAGTCCAACAGAATTTACATTACTGCTGCTAATGGAATTTAATTTTACTGTCCCTTTTCTCAATCCTTAAATTCTCAGATAAAGGACAGTGGCCTCTGCTTGCATCCAGATCAACAAAACTACCAATTCTGTGCCCCCTGCTTTCCTGCTGGTGACAACAGTAAAAAAGTGGCCACACTTACAAAATAGTCCTGCCAAGGCAGGCCGATAGCCGGGGAGGGGGGTGGCTTGAGGAGCTTCAGCCCCCCTCCCCCAAATTCTCAGGGTGGTCCATGACAAGGCCTTACTGGTACATTAATTAGAATGTTATGTTTATTCATATCATGATCTGATCACCATGCTCAATATATCCCATATGCATGGACGTATTGGGACAATGATACAAAAGGTTTTCTAGGGTAGATCCTGAGGGCCCCCCCCCCCCGAATTAAAATCCTGGCTACGGACCTGTGCCAAGGATATGGGCCTGATGGAAGAGGGATGTGGGTTTGTCAGTGGAGTAATGAGGCTGCTCAGCTTCTGGCCTATCTAACAGTCAAATGTGTATTTGGCACAGGGTGCTGAATCCACAAAGTCATCACAATAGGACTGAGGTGTTGTTCGGTACCCTCAGGAGCTCTCAAGGAGCAAGAAAGCAATGTTTATTGGGGCTGTAGAGAGGGTCAGTGGTTCTTTTAGGTTCTCCTGGGACAGACTAAAGCAAGAGCTTAGTCTGTGCCAGGAAAAATCCCTCTGCTCTCCCTGAAGCTACAAGTGATGTCGAACATACCCCCCCCCCTTCAAGTTATTAATAAACTCCGTACTGAAGTGGAGAGTTCCACTTCAATTCTATTGATCAGCTATGCGAACAATCGGGGATACGGAGGAGCCCAGCAGCATCTACCAAGCACCCTGAATACTTTCTTTCCCCCTTTATTACAATATAACTCCTTAATAAATGTGCACTACAGTGTGTTATCATCCATTCTTGGCTCTTTGTATCTCCTTTTGCCTCCTGCGTCTTTCTTTCTCTCCTCCCAGCTCTGGCAGCTGGCCCCAGTAACCACATGATCCCATGTCCCTCATGGCCCCTTGGAGTAGGGCTCCCTCCCTTCTTTTACCCCCAGATGTGTCCTCCTTTCTCCCCAAGTAAACCGGAGTCACCTTCCACCCCCATGGATACCTGGCCTCCATATGATGGGTTCCACGGGCTCCTCTTGGGGTCCTTCCACACAGCCCTATATCCCAGAACATCAAGAAAGGAAATCCCACATTATCTGAGTGTGGATTCAGATAACCTAGTTCAAAGAAAAAATGGTGGGATGCTCTGCCTTGATATTCTGGGATACAGGGCTGTGTGGAAGGGCCCAAAGTCATTTTTGTGTGTGAAAGGTTTCTCAATTTATACATGAGAATATATGGTATATATTCCACGATGTCAAATAAATCAATTTGAATTCCATTTTGTAACACAACAAAATAAGGAAAAGTAAAAGAAGGTGAATACTGCTGCAAGAATCAAGACAAATCAATATACCTCCCAGCAGATTTGGGGGGGACGGTGGGGCGGGGCACCTCACTGTTTGTATGAACTAGCTAATAAATGCACATACTGTCAGAAATACAATAGCTGTGCTCTTCTATTTGCAATGCATTAATATCAGCACCTGCTATGAGGCAATGGTCAGTCTGTTGTTGAACACTCTGTCTTGCGACTCTCTGAGACCTCAACTATCCTTAGCACTGCTAATAAATTGTGTGTGTAGCATTGAATACAGAGGGGGCTATTTCAAAGAAGCAATTTGTTTTATTAGAACTGACAATACTGTATGTGGGAAGACATCTGTGAGATGCATCAGAAGCTTTTTCAGCTTCTGAACACCTCACAGATGTTCACAAATAGAGAAAATTGTTTCTTTGGTTGAAGGCAGCTCATGAGCCAATAAATGAAAGAAACCAGCTTTTAAAAAGGAGCTTGCAGGCTGTGAAATTAAAAACAAATCTGACCTAAATTTGTAATGACAATCAACTGAACTGTTTTTGTTAATTATAGTTATCAAGAACTGAAATCAATGAAAGGTGAATAAAATCATGCAAATTCAAATGACTAAACAAAGAATGTTAGCATGTTGTTTCCTTTAAAAATCCTTCAAGAAACTGACCTATATTTATTTTTCTAATTTCTTACTTACCACATGTAACCGTGCATTCTCCGAATTCTACTTCTTTGGGTTTCGTCGAATTGTCATCTAGAGAAGATTCAGAGATATGAAAGGCTGATTACAAAGCTTTTTCCTCATAATTAAGTTACCTAAACTCATTATAAGAATAGCTTCAGCTGAGACATGAGTTGGTTTTACTCACTGGGATAAATGGGGGAAATGGATTTTACTAGGGTAATTTATTTACTAAACCAAAATTGATATTAAATTATTTAAATATTAAAATTATTTTAAGGAAAAAAAAGATAGACTTCACTGCACAGTGCTTATGCTTTTAGTATAGTCCATTTAGTAATTCCAAACTTTTATTTGAAAAGAAAAGAAAACTATGGTATTGTCCTTATTCCACACAGCAAAATATGTTACTTAAGCATATTGTACTAAAAATGTTCAGGAAAGACTTCGATACCCACTTTGACTAGTAACCACTCTCCAACATTACTACCAAAAGGGTTACGAAGCAGTTTTTGGTCAAGTTTAGATTCTGTTTGGTTATTTGGGTTGCCGATTCAGAAAATTGCATTGGATAGACCACATCAGCTCTAGTTTCTGATACAGAACATGTGCCATGGTCAGCGACAGGGAAGAAGTGGCAGACGGCACAAAAGGAGTGGAAATAAAATAAAATAAAGAGGAAGGAGGCTCGCAGACAGATTTTCATCTCGCGGCCCACTGGTGGTCCACGGCGCACAGATTAAGAACCACTGGTCTAATGCAAACATCTTATTTTATTTATTTACCATATTTATATACCACCCTTCTCAGCCCGAGGGCGACTCAGGGCGGTTTACAAATGGCACAACTCAATGCCCGCAATAACATAAAAACAATTTAAACATTTAGCATAAATAACATTAGATAAAATAATAAAACCAATAAAATTTCCATTCTCCCTAACATACTTCAATGTCAGCAACATAAGAGTTCAATAAAATAGAAATTGTCTTAACTGATGTTTCAGTTTAAGTGACGAGAAGACTACATGATCATTTCTTCAATATGTATTTTTCCAAATGCAACTGTGTTATTATTTTGTAGTATTTCGCACCGGGATTGTGGCGCAGCTGGCTGAGTGTCAGCTGCATTAAGATCACTCTGACCAAAAGGTCATGAGTTCGAAGCCAGCCCGGGTTGGAGTGGTTTCCAACCAATTGTGTAGCCTGTTGTCGACCTTTGCAACCCGAAAGACAGTTGCATCTGTCAAGTAGGAAAATTAGGTACCACCTTGTGTGGGAGGCTAAATTTAACTAATTTATGAGGCCATAAAGAAAAAAGACTCCGGGGAATGTGGAATGCGGAAGAACTTCATCGGTGTCGTTGATGGATGATGAAAAGCAGCAGCTCCCCTGGCGGCCAGAAAAAAAAAGTTAAATAGCCTTTGTCTGTTAAATGTTGTTTGTCAAACTGGCATTGAATGTTTGCCATATATGTGTTTACTGTAATCCGCCCTGAGTCCCCTGCGGGGTGAGAAGGGCGGAATATAAGAACTGTAAATAATAAATACCTTTTTTGTTTTCTATTATAAAGATGAAGCGATGAGCGATCATCGCTATGATACTTCACCTTGTTGATGGGAAGCTTCCCACCGGAGTGGAAATCATCTATCGGACAGATGGCAAGCTATTCAACCTCAGCAGACTGAAAGCCAAAACCAAGGTTACAACAACAGCTGTTATAGAACTCCAGTATGCTGATGACAATGTCGTCTGTGCGCATTCAGAAGAAGATCTACAAGCCACTCTAAACACCTTCGCAGAAGCATATGAGAAGCTCGGCCTGTCACTGAACATTGAGAAAACCAAGGTGCTGTTCCATCAGTCGCCAGCCAATCCCTCTCCAATGCCAGTAATACAGCTTAATGGTGTCACATTAGAAAATGTGGACCATTTCCACTACCTTGGCAGCCACCTCTCCACCAAAGTCAACATCGACGCCGAAATACAACACCGCCTGAGCTCTGCAAGTGCAGCATTTTCCAGAATGAAGCAGAGAGTGTTTGAGGACCGGGACATCCGTAGGGATACCAAGGTGCTTGTTTATAAAGCTATTGTCCTCCCAAACCTGCTATATGCCTGTGAGACGTGGACTGTCTACAGACGTCACATGCAGGCTCCTGGAACATTTCCATCAGCGCTGCCTCCGGAAAATCCTGCAAATCTCCTGGGAAGACAAGCGGACAAAAGTCAGTGTGCTGGAAGAAGCAAAGACCACCAGCATTGAAGCGATGGTCCTCCAACATCACTCCGCTGGGCCGGCCACGTTGTCCGGATGCCTGACCACCGTCTCCCAAAGCAGTTGCTCTACTCTGAACTTAAGAACGGAAAACGGAACGTTGGTGGACAGGAAAAGAGATTTAAAGATGGGCTCAAAGCCAACCTTAAAAACTCTGGCATAGACACTGAGAACTGGGAAGCCCTGGCCCTTGAGCGCTCCAGCTGGAGGACAGCTGTGACGAGCAGTGCTGCAGAATTTGAGGAGGCACGAGTGGAGGGTGAAAGAGAGAAACGTGCCAGGAGGAAGGCGCGTCAAGCCAACCCCGACCGGGACCGCCTTCCACCTGGAAACCAATGCCCTCACTGCGGAAGAAGATGCAGAGCAAGAATAGGGCTCCACAGCCACATACGGACCCACAAGGAAATCCATAATGGAAGACCATCTTACTCGTCCAACGAGGGATCGCCTAAGTAAGTAATTATAAAGACAGTGTCTCAAAAAATAGAAGTTATCATGCAAGATGCTATCTTCAATTATATGTCAAAGTAAGATGTACAAACACAGTCTGGCTTTAGGCCGGGACATGGCACTGAGACAGCCTTGGTCGCCTTAGTGGATGATCTACGCCGGGAGCTCGACAGGGGGAGTGTGTCCCTGTTGGTGCTGCTGGACCTCTCAGCGGCCTTCGATACCGTCGACCACGGTATCCTTCTGGGACGCCTCGCGGGGATGGGTCTTGGGGTACTGTTTTGCAGTGGCTCCGGTCATTCCTAGAGGGTCGGTCTCAGAAGGTGTTATTGGGAGACACCTGTTCAACCCCACAACCGTTGTCTTGTGGGGTTCCTCAGGGCTCTATACTGTCTCCCATGTTGTTCAACATCTACATGAAGCCGCTGGGTGAGATCATCCGGAGTTTCGGGGTACGGTGTCATCTGTACGCAGATGATGTCCAACTCTGTCACTCCTTTCCACCTGCTACTAAGGAGGCTGTCAAGGTCCTGAACCGGTGCTTGGCTGCTGTGACGGTCTGGATGAGGGCGAACAAATTGAAATTGAATCCAGACAAGACAGAGGTACTCCTGGTCAATCGTAAGGCCGAACAGGGTATAGGGTTACAGCCTGTGTTGGATGGGGTCGCACTCCCCTTGAAGACACAGGTTCGCAGTCTGGGTGTGACCCTGGACTCATCGCTGAGCCTGGAACCCCAGGTTTCGGCGGTGACCAGGGGAGCATTCGCACAGTTAAAACTCGTGCGCCAGCTGCGCCCGTACCTTGGGAAGTCTGACTTGGCCACGGTAGTCCACGCTCTGGTTACATCCCGTTTAGACTACTGCAACGCTCTCTACGTGGGGTTGCCCTTGAAGACTGCTCGGAAGCTTCAAATGGTCCAACGCTCGGCAGCCAGGCTACTAACAGGAGCGGCACTCAGGGAGCACACCACTCCTCTGTTGCGCCAGCTCCACTGGCTGCCAATATGCTACCGGGCACAATTCAAGGTGCTGGCTTTAGCCTATAAAGCCCTAAACGGTTCTGGCCCTACTTACCTCTCCGAACGCATCTCCTCCTATGAACCGACTAGGACATTAAGATCGTCTGGGGAGGCCCTGCTCTCGGTCCCGCCCGCATCGCAGGCGCGGTTGGCGGGGACGAGAGACAGGGCCTTCTCGGTGGTGGCCCCTCGGCTGTGGAACGCCCTACCTGTGGACATCAGACAGGCCCCTTCACTGCTGGCATTCCGGAGGAAGGTCAAGACTTGGCTTTACGAACAAGCGTTTGGCTAAATAGTGCAATGAAACACAGTAAGATGGTACAACTGAACATAGGAACTGGTATAACAGATTATGATTGCGGATTCTGATTCTGATTTGTTTGTTGAGGCGTACGTCTTTGATAATGATTGTTTTTTGACTTGATATGTTTTGTATAATGTGTTTTTAACTGCCTTTTGATGTTGCTGTGTTAATCCTTTACTATATAAACCGCCTTGAGTCGCCATTTCGGCTGAGAAAGGCGGTATAGAAGTAAAGCAAATAAATAAATAAATAAATAAACGTTTTCCATCACCATTTTATCTGCATATATAAAGTTCCCATTCCCCTCAAATCTTTCTTCTCAACTCCAATAATTCCTTTTATACTTGAGCAATTGTTCACACTATTTATATTCTGCCCTTCTCACCCCAAAGGGGACTCAGGACGGTTCACATAACACATATACGGCAAACATTCAATGCCAATTGTACAAGGACAAAACAGACAACAGATAGAAGTATGTATTTATGCTTTCCCATCTTTCAGCATCTTTGGAGGCTGTGCTTGGTTCCGGCAACAGGGGAGTGCTTTCGTACCACTTCCTTGCCAAAGAGCATTTTTCTTTGTTCGTAAATTTCCTCCTTTTTATGATCAAAGCGCTGTGCTGCTCCACTTTTTAAAAATGCAGTTCCTATTTATCTACTCACATATTTGTATTCAAACTGCTAATTTGGCAGAAGCTGGGCTGAAAGGTAAGGTGCTCACCTTGACCCAGGATTTGAACTATCAACCTTCTGGTTGGCAAGATTTATTGTAGCTTGGTGATTAACCTGCTGCGCTAAAGCCCGGCCCAACTCAACGTATTACAGGAAATTTGTCTTTATCTATTTAAATTTTTCTTTAATGATAAGACAGTAGAAATGACTTCTGTTATGTATTGCTTTCAATATATACAATAAGTCCCTTTATATGCATATGAAAATGTTGGAAGATGCTTAACATTAAAAGAATTTCAATATGTCTCCATATCATTGTTGCTTCAGATCCCCTCTCAGAACAATA